ACTCCACTCCACTCCACAAAGAGACAGCAGCATCAGCATCAGCAGGGAGCAGGAGAGATCCCAGATCCCAGTTCGCAGATCACCAACCCAGAAGGCTCACCCCAATTTCTGTGCGATTCTATGGCCCCCCCCCCCCCTTTTGATGCATCGTTTTATGCATCCGCTGCCCGAGAGTCCATTACTCCAAATTATGTGGCTGCTGTATGCAAGTTTACAGCTTCTGGAGCCCAATCCATTAACTGGGGAGCTCCCCAGAGATCCAGCGTCTCTTTTATGAGGCGCCGCCGGCGTAGATCCTCTGTCCATCCATAAACACAGGTATGAATATATGGCCGCATATCCATGTTCGTTCCCATCCATTGCGATCCATTGCCGGAGAGTCGGGCAATTAGCGGAGTGAAATTCAACACTCGCACGGTGGCTCCATTGTCCAAATGTGGGCTGGGGCCGGGGCTGGGGCTGGGACTAAGGCTAATGATTTGGTCACTCGACGCATGCCTCTTGGAAAAGTGGATCCAACGCAGATATCTCTCTCTCTCTCTCTCCCTCTTGTTTCCTGCTTGGCATTATTCGGATATTCTATGCCCAAAGGAGACTGCAGTCAGGATTGCAGCTAAAACTGTTTGATAAATATGCGACAAAAGAAGAATTGGATCAGAGAAAAAATACAAAGAAAGGCAGGAATTTCAGAACAAGAAATCTACAGAATATCACGGATTTCCTGGTGAAGTTTTACAATAGTTTCCACCCAAAAACCATTCATGGAATAGCTAAAAACTATCATGAACCCCAGAGAAAACCTTTCAAACTATCTATCATCGGAGCGAGCGTCCCTTATCCAATGGCCACGACCATGGCCACGGCTGGCAGTCAAGAAGATCCGCAACAAGCCACAGTCCCAAGTAACTTCAAAGTGGCAACAACTTCATTTGCTGTTGCGGCGGCCAACATCTATTTTTATTAGCCAAGCAATTTGGCCAAAAGGCAGCAGCAGCAGCAAACGAAGAGCCACACAAAAGAGACACAGAGTGAAAGAGAGGCAGAGACAGAGTTCAGAAATAGAACCAAAGACAGAGACAGACCCCAATCGCGGGACTCAAAACGGTTTCGCAGATGCAGAGATGCGACAGGGAGGAGACACCTGTCATGAGAGAGAAGGCTCTTAACAACGGCCATCAGCCGGAGAGCGCAGACCGCGGAGGCCATGCCACAACACCTCTATTCAAATAAGCCACAAAGTCAGATTTAGGATCTTCTCCTTTCCACTCCTCCCAGATCTGTGTGTGCGGCTGTGTGGCCTGGTCTCCCCATACTAATTCCATGCGTGGTCCCATTTCGCAACCGAACGATACCCAACGGTGACCCAATGCTAAGCGGGCTACAAAAGTTGGACAATGGCCCACAGCAGTTTAACGGATGCTTCCTCTTGGTCATCGTTTTGCCCGCTGGTGCCTGCTGCCTGGTGACTGTTGCCTGCTGCCTGGTGCTTTTGTGGTGCTGGAGAACATAAAGGGTGGAACAAGTCTTGAGACATGTTACTCCATGGCTTTGGCTTGGCTTGGCTTGGCTTGGCATGGCATTGCAGCCAGGCCTGAACTTGTTCCGCGAAACGTGTTTGGTATTTCGCCTCAGTGGCAGAGCAGCCAACTGGTTGACGTTGACCACATGACCAGGTCCAGGTCCAGGCCAGCTCCCAGCCAGAGCCAGTCCCCGAGATCCAGTTGGCCAGCGATCCAGCGATCCCGAATATGATGATCAGCGGCTGCTGTGACTGTGCCTGTGCCTCAAAGTGTGGCCACAAATCGAATTGTTGTTAATTAATAACAACGAAACACCTTTGTCTGGACACGGACCCGGTCCCCTTCCGGACAGGCCCCTGCCCCCGAGGCCACAGGACTGGCAGGTGCTCCTAATTTGGGGTGGCGCCCCAACGTTGACGCCCTTTTCTGGCTCGATTTCGACTTGGAACTTTGGTTTCGGAGCTGCGGGTTTGGTGCCTTGTTAGCATTGCCATTTGCCTCTGCCATTTCCATTGCCCCTTTCGGTGGCCACAAAACCAAAAAAAAACAAAAAGTAAAGTGCAGTTAGCCACGCTCTCTCGCTCTTTCTCTTGCTTAATTTGTGGCATAACTCGTTTCGTAATTGAGAATTACATTAGATTCGTGACGAGTGCGTGCAACAGAACTAGTTTCGCCAGCTCCCAACCGACAGACCGACAGACCGATAGCCCGACAGACTCTGGCTATTGAGTCATTTGGCAAACAACAACGAAAAATGGCAAGGCAAGAAACGCGGCTATAAATTGGCCAAGATAAGGCAAAACGTATGCCAATATTTGTACGAATACGAATACAAATACGAGTATGAGGAGAGTGCACTCCGCTCACCGTTCTCCACTCTCCCCTCTCCACTCACCCCAGTTATGTATGATCCACGCTTGATAGCCAGTGTGCCCCCGACATATCTATCTTTTATTGCACGCAATTTCCTTCCAGCTCGATTCCTTTGGTGTTTCTGTGCCCGGAGATAATCAGCGGTTGCAGCAGCAGCAGCAGCAGCGGGCTGGAACTGCTACCAAAACGAGATGCTACCAGATGCGGAGATTGAGTGCAGAAAGGAGTGATAGTCAAGTGCCAAGTGGCTTCCTCTGTGTGGGTATTAGCCGGGCTAATCAGAGATGCACCAGACACAGACCCTCCCCGAAGACTGAAGAAGCTGATGGCAGCTATGCTATGACAAAGAAGAGCAGATGATGCATACATATATGCAAGAATGTGTATAATCAATGGTGGAGGAAGCCCTTCCGGAGTGATTGAAGCATGTCCGAGGAACTATGGCACAATATTTACGCTGATAGGTCAAAGATGTTTAGAGTTCTGACAGAAGTAGATCGCAGAATTATATTCCTTTGTCCGATAATCTTTGTTCAAGAAAAAACCGCTCCCTGGAATTTATGTAAAGAAATCTTTTGGATCTCTCTCGCAATCGGCTTGAACTTCCTGTGTGCCGATGGCTTCATTGAAATAAAACCACAGCATCCATACACCCATACAATATACCTATAACTATCGACCACTGACCAACCCCACCCTAACCGCCTTTGGTACGGGAATGGGGCATGGGGTAACCACTTGGATATGGGCCGTCAATTGATTTCATTGCTAATGATGGCTAACGGTGTCTCAGACACTTGCCACAGCTTCGAACGGGGCTGCGGAAAGGAAGCCAGCGGTTAGCGGACTACGCCCCGGCCAAGACAGCTCCCAGAGAGCCAGGTGCAAATATATTTTGATGCAGAGTCCACCTGTACGACAGTGGGAGCTCAATAAGATGAAACTCTCCGGAGTGCTGTTTTCTTTGGTCTGCGTTCTTGCCACTGTGAGGCTCCACTGTCGCACGTTTGTGTGTGGCTTCCGCGGCCTCCCGTTCGAGATTGATTGGGCATTCGTTTATTGTCAGTGAAGCCGGCTTATCGCATCAATGCAATTTGTTTGCGCTGTGTCTGTGGCTGCACCTAAGCCTGCGGGTAACTCTACACTGCTCTCGCTTCTCCCTCTACAACCGTTAGAGTCGTGCTTTGCTCTGAGCTTCAGTGGAGACATGTGGATAAAGGGAGAGATGTGTGTGCGTGTGTGCACTGCCTTTGGTCATGCATGCCAAAGCAAAGGCTTAATAACCCCTCGAGCCTTAATTAAGGCCTTAACCAAAGCACTTTGATTGATTTACGCTGCCAGAACAGAGAGAGAGACGGAGACAGAGACACAGAGACACAAACATTAACACAGAGAGGAAGTCTCGAGTCGTCTCCCCTTCAGTACAATTAACAGTTCGTGGAGGATCTGCGGACGAGTCCGGCTCTACCTGCATGCATAATTACCCCATAAGACTCAATTAACTGTAAATTAAAGAAAATGCTCTCGCTTACATTATGGCTGCACTCACTGTCGCGTGTGATAATGGCTTAGCTGTCGCTCTCTTCTGCTTGCAAAGTATGCAAGACATCAACAACAACACACAAGGTACAGTACAATGTGCGGTGGGGATTTCTCATTCTGCAGGGCTCTCTCTGGGAATAGTCTCTCCCTCTCTGGCAATGGTGCATATAAAAACAATTGGTCACCGTCGCGCTGCCCTCTCTCCATATATGTAGTTGAAGAGCGTTCTCCTAGTAACAACCTTACCTTGCACAAATTACGCCTTGCGCACAGGTACAACAGCAGCGCATCTTCTAGTAAAAGCATTTTTTTGTTGCTTCCTTTTTGGTGCTTTTGTTTCTGTTGTCTGTCTCGCTCTCGCGCACACACACACACCTCAGATCGAATTAGAGCGGGCAAATGTACGAGAAGAGATAAAGGAGAGGAGAATTAAGTAACAAGGCACTTAACGTTAACACTTAACAAGGCAATGTCGCGGGGCCGTGGATCGCAGAGGGTACGGGATGGGATCTGTGTGGGGAAGCTGGCCATAAAATGTAGCCGGAGACGGTGACGGTGACTGAGCCGTAGCTGGAGCTTGCAACGAAATGCCATTAAGTGTCATTGCTCATTCCTGCGAAAGATTGATATCGGACTTTAAATATGCGTCCCCCGTCTGCTGTCTGCTGTCTGCTCTCTGCTGTCAGGTGGAGCGGGAATCGGGAATGGAACACTAAAAGTCAACCGATGGATGGGGGCCAGAGGCAAAGCCAGAGCTCCAAACAGTGGGGCAGTGTGAGTGAAAGAGGGAGAGTTTGCTGGGCAATTAACCCCATAACTTCCCATAAAACGGAAGTTGCAGTGCAGAAACCTGAGATTGCACCCAGAAGACTCTTTTGGAGCTGCAGATTCGTACAGCTGGCAACTTCTCACAGTTAGCCTCGGAATCGGACGGAATATAATAAATCAATTTTGTTTTTAAATAATTAATCTGATAATATCTTCAGCCTCACCGAATAAAATATATGAGCCTTCTCCAAAAACTCTGACCGAATAAGCCCCAGCACCCATGTGTCCCGTACATACCAGCACTGATCATCAGGTGGGGAGGCCACAAATGTTGGCTCTCAGTTGAACTCCAAGTCAGAGTCGAAGCCAAAGTCGATTGCGGTTTAAGCGGCTTATCACATTAGCACACTCCTCCAGCTCCAGCTCCAGCACCAGGACAGGCAGGCCAGGCCCCCGAGCCTGAGATACGAGTACTCGTATTGGAGAACCGCTAAAGAGCCGTTAGCGATCGCGACATGGATGCGACATTCGCATCCTGCTTTGCCACAGATCTGGGACCTGGATCCTTGTGACACACACACAGCACAAAAACACAGAGACAGGGAGACAGCGGAGACAGACGACTGCCGGCCGGCTGCACTTTGCCTGGACGAGATCTTAACAAAACTAACTCGATCGCCATTGATCGGACGCATTTCAACTGAAAGTCAAGTGGAGAGAATGCCGCCGTTGACGCTGACGCAGACGCAGACGCTTACGTTGGCAGCGGACTTCAGACTGCGGACGACTGCATTCCCGAGGCCCAAGACCAGAGATGGAGCAGCCCCACACAGTACCACAAAATAATACAACAGAAAATATCCAAACCAAACACACAAAAAAAAGTATAAGAAACTAAGCCAAACCGTAGTGAAGCGGAGAGTGTGCAGAACTTTATGGCTTGGGCCGTGGCCGTCCAGAGAGATGCTCTACAAGGCGGCCGGACCACCGCCACTTAATAGATCTGAAGATCCGAAGATCTTCAAATGAAAAGAAAGCTTCGCCCCAGGAGCACCCAAGTGAAATTGGAGTTAAGACAAAAGACAGTTCAGAAAATTTTGGTTGTATCCAAGATCGATCTGTGATCTGTGAGGTGTCAAAGAAAGTTCCAATTGAATGGGGAGACCACCCTATATGATAGATGGAAAACGCTAGATTGAAGCTTTAAGATCTTAAGTAACAGTTTTTAATGTTTAAATGGGGGGAAAGACAGAAAGAGAGTTGTCGAAGAGAGGAATAAAAGAGTAGATTTTTAGAGATTATAATTATAAGAAATTCAAAATCCGATATCCCATATTATCCCCTCTGTAGAGTACAGTAGAGTACAACAAAGTACTGAAAGAAATGCACCGCACCGGCAACGAACGTTCTGTGGCAAGTTCTGGTGGCGTTGCTCATTTTGTGCTTCGATGGCGGTGGTGCCTGCCCCAGCCAGGCCAGCCGCTGCACCACTCCGCTCTGCATCCACTCGGGGAACAGTACAATCGAGTTTCCACCAATGTGAATTAAATAGTTGGCCAAAAGAGAGGCGACAGAGAGCTCAAATGCCGCTAAAAACGCAACAAATCCCAGACGATGACCACAAAGTAATGGAAATATTGAGAATTCCTTTGGCCTGACTTCGACTGGGACTGGGACTGAGACTGAGACTGGGAGTCGAAGACTTAGTCTGAGTCTTGGTTGTGGCATGGCCGTAACTCAAACCGACCATTAGAAACGAACATTAGCAGAAGAGTAGACGAAGACGAAGACGACGAATGGCAGGAGACGGTGGGGCTGCAGTTGGCAAAAGAAGCTGGCAAAAAAAAAGAACTAACGAACCTTGACAATTAAGTTTGCGCCACTCTGCCAAACCCAATTGGAATTCAATGTGCATGCAATGTGGCAGGAGGAGTAGAAGCAGCAGCAGCAACAGCAGCCGCAAATGACGTTGATGATGCTCCTCATCCTCCCCATCATAACGAAGCTACCAACCTACCTAACCATCCACACAGCTCCACAGTTTGAGTCTGTATGTGTAGCTGTGGGTCTCTTCTGGCTGGCCTGTCGCTTGCTAATTCCCCAACAAATGTTTGCTGTTGCCGTTGATGTTGTTGTTGCTGTTGGCGGCTTCTTCAACATGTGTTGGTACAAATAGCCAACAGAATCCATAGCCCATGGACTGACTGCAGCTGGAGAGTCGCGTGATGATGCGCCAAGTGGAGAGGAAAAATCTCGTTAAAGGTCGTGTCACACAGCATCCGCAGCACCACCACCGCAAAAAGGGGACAATGCCAAGTGCCAAAAAGCAACAAGAAAAAAAAGGAAAAAAGCTGTGAGGAAAATGCAAACTCGTGCCGCAGCTAACACAATAAATTTTCTCTTTCAGCCAAGGAAAATCTCGCAGTGGCACTGCGTGGCGTGGCTCATGGGTGGTCATGCCTCCTGGTACTCCTCCTTCTCCTCTCCTCGTTCTTTGGCTGCTACTACGTTTCTTCCTTGCTTGCTGGTTGCTGGCTGCTGTAAATGGTAGCAAAAAACAATCTGAATAAATTTGTCGCCAACTTCCTTGGGGCTTTGCCAGAGATTTTTGGTATGGGCTGGGGGCGAATGGAAATGTATGAACTTGTTGATGGGCTGCTACCTGCTGATGGAGATCTTTCGAGAGAACTATTTGAGTGAGAGAGGAAGGAAACCGATTTGTTTGAATGGAGTCAAAGTAATGATGGCAATAAGCAAACGGTTATTCTGCGGAAAGTTTATTCTTCATCGTAATATTTGAGTGTGGCTGCCATTAAAAAGTACACAAACCTTGCTTCCCATACAACCCCATTAAGTATCCTTAATACAGTGCAAATTTCGCCATAAGCACTTGCCATTAAACATCATTCAGGAGGCATCTCAGTCTCAGTCCCAGTCGGAGTGGAGTGGAGTGGAGTGTGTACCCTCATCAGTGGCTTTAATCTCTCCCAAGTCTTCGCCCAAATCTGCACTGGAAGTCCAGTCCAGACTTTCCATGTCCGAAACTTCACTTCATGCGTGACCCCAATTCCCCACAGGCGGCACAAGCCAGGCCAGCGAGAGAAAATCTGAGGATGAGACTGGAGAATGGGAATGAGAATGGGAATGGGGATGTGTCGTGGGTATATCGCGGTTTAGGGATATGGATGGGCTGCGATAAGCGATCATGAAATGAGGGATAACTGGTCGGCTAATGAATGGTTTCGCAATAATTGATGCCACTTTAAATTGGCCAAATGTTAATGGTGGCGGAAAGAACAGTAAAGAAAGGAAAGTTGGCCAAGGGACTGAGACTGAGACTGCAACTGCGACTGCAACTGCAACTGGAGGCTGTGTTCCCAGTTCCCAGAGAGGCAGGTGATATTCGGACACGGAGTGATATTTCACATCAACGTGAAGGCAGGCAGGCAGGCAGGCAGGCCGGGACAACCTTTCTCTCTCTCCCGCTATCCAAAAGCGAAAACATTTCCAGTACGTGATTGGGATTGGCCGTGGATGGGGCAGGGACTGGGTATGTTTTGGACATGGCCATTTAATCAAGCCCACATTTCGGGCATTGGCTTGGACATTGACTTGGATTTCTGCTCACTGACCATTTTAACAGCCTGAGCACAAAAAGCACAAAAATTTCACCGCTCCACCAAGATCATCGCACTTTGCACGCAACCCGAAAAAAAAAAAATAAATAAAAAGTGCAGCAAAAAAGAGCAGAAATATATTTTATATATGGTACTGGACGCTGGGGCTGGGGCACGCTGGCCATCCAATGGTTTATGTATGAGAGTGGTGCAGTCACATTTTTGGGGCAAGTTGCACTGTTAGTTGGATGATGCTGATTTGGAAATTGGTTCAACGCTGCTGCGCTGCACTGACTCCCTGACTGGCACTCGCATGCTCCAATTAATTGCCACAACGGCCAGTTGCACTCAGCCCGCAGTCGCCTGTCCAGCCGTCGTCATTCCTGGTTATATCACTGAACCACAAAAGCAGAGACCTAAAACGAGTTGAATGCACCCACCCAACACCCATCACCCATCACCCATCAGCCATCCAGCCATCCATCCAGGTACATGCATCGCGATGGGAAAGCTCAAATTTCATTGGCCTCTGACTCTTAAGAAGCTGTAGAAATCGACTGCCTTGCCACACGGCCCAGACAACATCACTCATACTTGAATGATTCAATGATTGCATGATCATGAGGCAGATACACCCCCGCCTCCTGCAACAGCCTTTGGCTGTCCGTTCATCTGCCGCTTGGGGTGTTGCATGAATTTGCGCAAAAAATCTTTTAAAATTTAATTAAAACAATTATTTAAAAATAAAATTTAATTAATTGCAATGTTGCATGAGTAGACACCCCGCGCAGTCGCCGCTGCTGGCTGCTGCTGCTGGCTGCAGCTGATATTGTAACGGTGGCACTGGCCTCTCCACATGGGGCATCCACACCTCAAGCACACCTCATGGGTGGCATACCCCACCCCCTTCCAGTCCGCTTTATATCGTTGCATACGAAATGAAATGCAATATGCTCTGGCCCATATACTCGTATGCACGGTACGGGCCGTACGCTATGGCTACGTTAATAATTAAGTTATGCTGTGTGCCCCAGTCTGTGGCATTGTTGCATAATCAACGGCATAATCCAAGGGGTAATGGGGATCCATGCAGAAAGTGGAATTAACAGAATTCTTGGATTAGACATAATCTTGTTCGATTTTATGGAGCAGAGAAATGTAAATGGAAAAATTATCAGTGGTTTTACCCGCTTGATTTTTATTAGAAGAAAAATATTAGTCTTTGATTGGAAAATGGGAATCAACGAGCAATTGATTGAAGAATACATAAAAAATATAGTTTATATTCACAGCAATCATAGGTATTATTGTTAGCTACATTTCCAGTGAGATTTCAGCTTCCCACATTCCTCAGGACTGATGCTAACCACTTGCCAAAAGAAAGCGACAGAGACAGGGACCTGCCACTGCCCCGACCACATCCCACATGCTGTCCAAGGCTGGGAATAAAGAAATTAACATGTTGCCACAAAACTGCAGTTATGCCCTGGAACAACCAACAACCAACAAGCAGCAGCAAGAGCAACAAAAAAAAAACTGATATCAGCCCACGGGGCAGCATCAGCAATGTGGCAGCAGCAACCCAGCAATGGGGGCCGGGGCAACACACATTTAAGAAATGCGCCCAAAATATGCCGAGAACAAGGAAATGTTTACTTTGGCAGTTAACATGCCCGCCGCTCCACTTGGACCCAATAATTGCAGACCCAGAGCCAGAGCCAATCCACAAGGAGGGAACCGACATTTGTGTTCTTGGCCAAGTGCTGTACGCATAAATTTAGCCTTAATTGGCTTTAATATTATGTTGTCAGTGGACAGGCCCCGAAATCAGCAAACGCCAATCAAAAAGGGACCCAAAACCCGAAAGGCAGAGAATGGGAATTCGGACTGTGGTTAGGGACTTGCCAAATGTGGCACGTTTTCGGATGCCACGGTGTTGGGCTTAATCAGCAGTTACAAAGGGGCACAAAAAAAAAACCAAAAGGGGCACAAATGGGTGGAGAGATGCAGATATGTGAAAGTAAAGAACAGG